ATTTTAAACATGTCGTCCCACGGTCTTTTAACAAAGTGTGTTGTTTCTAACGAGATATCTGCTCTTCTGCATATCTTTGCTCCTTTGTATGAAATATGTCTCTTTTTTCCTTCAGCTGCTGACTTTCTCTTTACCATTCGTTTTTAGCATTTGATTATGATGTGTCTGGTATAGTTTCCATCATGGTTCCTGTGCTTAGAGCTCATGAGCACATTGGATCCGTGGGTTTATGGCTTGTATCAAATTTAGGAAGTTATTTCTTTGAATATTTTTTCTTTGTCCTTTCCCTTTGGGGACCCCATCAGGCAACTTGAGGTCCCACTGCTCACTGATGTAGAGTTAAATTTTTTCTTCTTTTTTTCTATTTCATTTTGAATAGTTTGCATGGTTTTATCTTCAAGATCACTTGCCACGTCTTCTGCCATGTCAAATCCACCCTTAATCCCAACCCATGCATTTGCATCTCAAACACTATAGTTTTCATCTCTAGAATTCAGATTCGTGTCTTTAAAAGATATTTTTCATTTCTCTACTGAACACGTTGCACATTGGCTCCACAGTTTCTGAGCAGGTGATACAGTCGAGTCGTGAAACAAGCTGTCAACCCTGGTCTACGGATGACCTCACTCCAGTCACTGCCTGGGCTGGCTCTGCTGAATAAAGATCTTTCTGCTTTCTTGCATCTTGGTCACTTCTGATTGGATGCCAGGCATTGTGAATTTTGCCCTGTTGAGTGCTGGATAATTTTGCATTCCTGAAAATATTCTGGAACTTTGTTTGGGGCTACAGGTAAGTAACCTGTAAACCATCTGGTCATTCTTCCAGGTCTTGCTTTTAAGCTTTGTTTGGTTGGGTCAGAGCAGTGTTTTGTCCAGGTCTGATATTCCTCATTGCTGAGGCAAAACCCATCGGTGTTTTCTACCTGATGGCTTGTTCCAGGAGGGAGGGTCAACCCAGTCTTGGTTTGTCCCTCCTGACTAGAAGCAAAATTGTGGACTCATTAACTTCCATTAAGTTTAAAAGAATTAATCTGAATCTAACCAGCTTTTGTTGTTAGGGAGGCCCTGCTTGTCAGGGAGGAGTTCCCGCTCTGCTCCTTGGTGGATGCCCGGTCCCTGGTGCAGTCTGGTGGGCTACAGAGCTCAGTTCTGCTCCTACAGTGCGGGCAGAATTCACGTTGTGCAGCTTCATTTTGAGGAGGGCACATACTGCATATGATTTAAATATTTTGAAGTTTACAGAGATGTACTCTGTAGCCGAGGGTGTAGTCTGTTTTGTCAACTGCTTCGTGGGCCCTTGAAAGAGCAATTAAGTCAATTTGGTAAATGGGGTTGTTCAAATTTTCTACATAATTATGTTTCTTCTCCTGCCGGTTCCATTGATTACTGAGAGAACTGTGTTAAAATCTCCACCTATATTTTTTGATTTGTTTATTTCTCCGTTTACTTCTGTCAGTGCTTGCTAAATATATTTTAAGCAGTGTCAGTAGGTACATATACATATACCTTTAGGACTCTTGTGTCTCCCCGCTGAACGGAGCCCCCGGTGGTCGTGCAGGGGACTCTCCTTGTCTCCACATTCACTTGCTGGTTGATGGACATCAGTCTCGCCACGTTGACCTCTTCATGGTTATGTTTGCATGGTATGGATATATTCCATTTTAAAAAATTTTCAGTATGCCTTTAAATAGCATATAGTTAGTTTTCTGAAAAGAATTGGTCTACCAACTGATTTAGGAGTTTTTTAGTCTCTATTTGATGTAATTACTAGTATGGTTGGATTGAAATTTACCATGCGTTGTTTGTTTTCTATCTGTATTGTCTGTCCTTTGTTCCTTTTTCTCAGTTTCCTGCCTAGTTTGGATAAATTATTGTTTTAAAAATATCCTATTTCCCTTCTTCCATTGGCTTCTTAGTTGTATGTTTTTGTTTTCTTTGGGGGGCTTACAATATACACTTACCATCGTCTATTTTCGTCTGTTTTCACATGCTCACGACCCTCATGCACAGCCACTTTCCACGTGCGCGCCATTCTCTGGCTTTTCCTCTGGCTGCTTGTAAGATTGTCTCTTTATAAGTGGCTCTCAGAGTTTTGTTTTTTTTTAATAATGTGCCTTGCTGTATTTTTCTTATCATTGTTTTGCTTGTGGCTTATTGAGTTTCTTGGATGTCTGAGTATAGATTTGGAAACATTCTGGCCATTATTTTGTCAAGTCATTTTTTTTTGCCCTGACTTACGTTTTCTGGGACTCAGTCACATGTGATAGAACACTGAGTATCTCTTTCGGTCAGTTCTCCTGGCTTGTGCCCCACTGGGAACACACACCCCTGTTTCCTCGTGGGTGTCTGATCTCTGGACCCTGGTCCAGGGCACGACACATGGGCTGGATGTCAGCCGCCTCTTCTCCCAGCCAGCCCAGTGGGGGCTTAACGACACTGCACAGAGTGGGGCTGGAAGGGGGGTTGAGATGAAGCACGGGTCAACATCGCAAGAGCGCCGCAGGCTGAGGTGCTCACACTGGATTCCCCCGACAGAAGCAGGTCCAGGATGTAGCCCCGGGGTGGTGCCATTCCCTGGGTGTCAGGATGGTGAGGCTGGATCCTCCCTCACCGAAGGGGGATCTGTCCTCGTTTTAATACGCTTATTCAGGAAATGGATTTGTCTTCTCTGCCCTTGACAATTCTGCCGGCACCATCTGCAGACTTAATGAGGGGCTTCCTTCCCCACTGTCCATCGTGTACGGCACTGCGGAGGGGTGTGCTTTACCAAGGACGCCTGCACTTGAGTCCGCCACTGTGACCAAGCCCCCCCCGCCCAGAAGCAGCTGGCCTTGCTGGCTGGAGGAGGACCCGGTGATGCTGCGGCCCGGGGACGGCACCTGTAACGTGGGGCGTGTCCTAAGGGGTGGTGCCCATGACGGGCAAGCTCTGCTTTGGGCTGTGGACCAATACATGGGCGGTTTCATGCACAACACACGTCTGTGACATGGGCAGGGATGGCTCTTCTGACACCCAGCGGTTACTGGGGGCGGCTGGTGCTTTGTCTTGAAAACGTTCCTCGGCTTTCTGTTCCTCCCTCCTCCACGGGACAGATCTCTGTTGAGTTCAGCTGCCATGTGTCAGTCTCCCAGTGGACCGGCAGGGAGCAGGGCTGACGGTTTTATTTCCGTGGAGACCCAGCACCTCACACGTGGCAGTCACTGCCCCCTCCCGGCGCCGCTCGCCTGGCAGAGTCCCAGAAGACTGTGCTCTCGGAGCGGCGAGTGGCCCGCCCTCGAAGAGGTGAGGAGCGGGTCTGCCTGCTGCCCCCGCACCTGAGCAGCTTGCCCTCCTTGCCAGAGCCAGTCTTGGCAGCTTGGGGCTCTTTCTCTTTAAGATCATGGTTCCTACGTGGGGACGCAACTGACCCCTTGCTCTGAAGCTCAGACCCACCAGGACGTGGAGTGTTAGGAAGCTGACGAATGCAGGGAACGGTGCTGTTCTCTCTTTGGAGCCCGGTGGTCCTTTGGGCATGCTCCACTAAGGTTGTGGCTAATAAAGGCTCCACATTTGTTGGAATGAGAATCCTCCACTAGGTACAGAACCTTCACTTTCCGAGGGACTGGCTGCAGCTGAGGCCACGTGCACTGGGGGTGGGGAAGGAAGTCGTAAGTATGGGTCCCAACCCCATAAGCAGGTACAGGGCCCGGCTGGTGACAGCCACGGGGACGACTTCCTGGCCTGCTGTGTGTGTGCATGTGGTGTGCACACACGAGAGCACGCACACTAGGTTGTCGACTGTTCACCCATCTCCCTCACCTCTTGTCTCCCCTGTATTTTGTGTAGGAATATTAGCGGCGTGGGTGGTAAATCCTGTAACTCACTTTCCAAGGTGGGAAACATTCAGAGGGGTGTGACTAGCAGCATTAACGCTGCCCAGGGATGGACGTGAAGATCGCGTGGTGGTACATTTTTTGGGAGAAGGTAAAAAAGCACCTGTTTGGTGCAGGGAGTGTTGCATCGCGTTAGGAGGAAGCACCCGCTGGATGGGAGTCCTGCGTAGTCAGGGGGCAGGAACCCCCAGAGAGGATGGCCAGTGCCAAGGGCTGGGGTCTGACTTGCTTCTGTGGGTGGCTCCTGGGGCCCCGGTTGGACTAGCACAGGCAGGGAGGGCAGCAGGGCCCTGGCGGGGAGGGCAGGGATGCCTGTGCTGCTTCCGGTCTCCGATGGAATCTCCAGGAGCTTCCTCGTCCCACGTGCACACGTTCCCTTCAAGCCTGTTCCCACCTGGGACGTGGGCGAGCCCAGCACGCACAGAAGTCGCTGGGGTCAGGCCATGCACCCTCAGGACTGCCTGCTTCTCCACGTGCTACTGAGCAGGACCAGCGAGTAATATTCGGTTCTTGCAGCGAGCGGCTACCTAACTGTTATTTCCTTTAGTTTTGGGGACTGTAATACTTAGTGGCCCCATTTTTTCTAATTCTAGGCCTTTTACTGCCTTGATGAGAGAAATGAATGCCAGATCCTGTCTTGTTTTAGCTTCATGAAGTGTGTTTAAGGTGTATGTGTTTGACAGAGAAATTCTAGAACCAACCCAGCATGCAAATAGCCATCCAAGTCTGAATGCCTTAAAATGCCTTAAAATGTCGGCCACTGTCCCATGATGCCGAACTGCTCCAGACCTTCCCTCTGAGATCAAGAAAGGTTTTTCTACAGAATTTCAATTATTGTGTTTTCCAAATATGCTGGGTGAGTTGCTGAGAAACCCCATTTTGATTGGTTCTCTGTCACGGCCTAAGAGATGTCTGCTGTTGTTTTTCTCTCTTTTCTTTTTGATTTATTTATTTTATTTTTTTAAGCAGGCTCCACACCCAGCGTGGAGCCCAGCGTGGGGCTTGAGCTCAGGACCCTGAGATCAAGACCTGAGCTGAGATGAAGAGTCAAAGTGCTCACCAGACTGAGCGCCCCCAGCGCCCCTGCTGTTATCTTTCTAATAAAAAGCCACGCATAACAAAATACATCCTCAGGTGGGTAAGACTATGTTTTATTCATTCCACTGAAAATCCAAAGCTGTTTCATGGTGCCCACCCTGGACCCCAAGTCCTCGTGGGGCCCCTTCCGTCCCCACCTCACACAAAAGGGATTTACCTCCCAAACTATATACATTCACAGTTGGGAACACCACTGACACTAAGTCACTGTGCAGAAGAGGATCAGGAGTAAACATCCATTCCAAGTCTGTTTATCAGGGGTTTTTTCCTGAAAATGCCCAGTGGCACTTCATTCAAAAAAGCCCTTCATCCACAGACGCCAAGGCCGGGAGCCGCGAGCCGGACCCTTCCCTCAGAATATCTTAGTTTATTTACCTCCTTCATTGGTCACTTGTATGTTTTCTCTCCTAAAAATGAATTTCTATGCATTCTGCAGCTAGAAGTTGATTACCGTGAGCTCCCAAGCCCGCATCTGGGCTGCATGCGTGCGGGCAGTGCCTCCCCGAGGGGCGGACACAGTGCAGGAACGGAGGCCGGGGCCTTCCCTTCGCTCCGGGAGGTTGCTGGAAGCGCACACCGGGCACGCCTTGGGAAGTCTGTAAACATTTTTTCTGGCGGCCCTGGCGGTCGCTTTCTATGGAGATGCCCAAATACAAAATCCAATTCATTTAGAAATTCAAAAGAATTTTCTTCCCCAAGCAAACCAGAGGCTTTGCTTCAGACCCAACTAGAGGCTGTGGTCCTTGTGCTTGAAGAGCAGACCTCTAATTGTGTCCGAAGGATGCGGTGCCTCGGGCCGAGCTCCGGGCGTGGAGGGGCAACACCAGGGCATCCCCTCCTGTGTGTGGAGGCTCTGCTCCTCACCTGACTCGGGCGGCGGCCCCAACGCCTTCCCTGAGGCCGGGCCGGTGCCGGCCTCGTGCTCGGTGGCGGGCAGGCCCCGGTGGGCAGCGGCAGAGTGTGGGGCGCCAGCCTCCCGCCAGGACCTGCCCGTCGCCCGGGTGCTGGCCTCCAGGAGGCTCAGCACACCAGCCAGGGCTGCCCACTGCGACCCCCTGCTAACTCACCCACCTCCCCGCCGCGCAACGCGTCGGCTGGATTTGCGAGGCTCTGAAGTACATTACCTTATGTGTAACAGAAATGCCAAGCTGGTAACGTTTATAAAAAAGACGGGGATTTGAAAAGGATTAAAGAAGCAGAAAAGGCATCTGGGCTGCGTGTGTGTGGCGGACCCAGACGGAGGAATGTACCTGGTAGAGAGAGGCCAGAAAGAGATTGAAGTCAAAGCCCCATACAGCCTCGGATTCTATCAAAAAAGGGCCTATAAATAGATATCCTCTGGCCCTCAAAGGAAAAATGACGTAGAAAACAATTTTCTTTTTTAAAAAATGCTGAATGCTTCCTGAAGTATCTAAATGAAGTTTATAAAATACTCATGAGTTCCCACAAATATAGAAATGTTTAAAAGTCAGACAGGCCTCTGCCATGCTGTGACCCCCACACAGGCTGGCAGAGAACTTGTGCTGGAATCGAAACACACGTGACATGTCTTGGTCTCCCGCGTGTCGCGTGTGCATGTGGAGTCCCGTCCACGTGCGCAAGCCGCCGGGCACGGACTCCAACAGGGACGCGAGGAAAGACTGCGGGAAGTGAACCCGGGACCGTCCCCCGGGGGCCCACGCGGCCCCGCGGCTGGCGAAGCCCCGCCCTCACACGGGCTCTCCACAAAGGAACAGGGTCAGAAGGACCCCGGGTGTCGCAGAACTCGGCCCGAGGCCGGTACACGCACACAACACGCGGGAGAGCGAGGCCGAGCCACGCCACCGCGAACAGGCTCACAGCCAGGCGGAGGCGGGTGGTGACAGGGCCGCAGAGAGGCCTCCTCTCTCCAGAACCTTCTCTCCTAGTCCAGTTTCTTACGGAAAGGTTTCCTTCCAATGTCCAAGTTCTCAGGGCTGAAGTCCGCACAGAAGCCGTTGGGGGTTGGAGCGAGGGGTGTCTGTGCACTGCTGTCCGGATGGGTCTGTTTGGGGTACAGGTACTCCTCTGCAAAGTTGGGGAACATTTCTGCAAACCTGCAGAAGTCAGCTGGAAAGACAGAAGAGGCACCTGGGTTGGCAGGGGGCAGACGTCTGGAAGCTGGGGGCTCCTGTCCCTGGGCCTGCAGGGGCCACTGTGATCTCACAGTGGGCTTCAGGTAGGGCTGGAATCCGGGCCCTCCGAGGAGGGGGCAGGGGAGGGGAG